AATATGCATAAATATAACTTCATGTTTGTAAAAATAATGTCAAGAACTGAGATGGTAAAAAAATCCAAACAATTATCGTTGTTCGACTTGCCAGCGCATTGCAGGACACGTAAAAACATGCGCGCGCGAATGTGTGTTCGGAACGCGTAAATTATTACAATGGTCAATAAAAGCACGAGACGAATAACAATAAATAAAAGATAGATTTTGCGCAGGCACTCGTACGTGTTATGTACGGGTTTGAATTCAAATTAAAATAAAAAATTATTTCATTGTTGCCGCGATGTACATTTTAATTAAGAAATGTTATGTCCCACATTGTGTATGTAGTTCAACTTTTATAATAAAATTGAAACGGATATTTTTGTATGCGCTCTTAAAGCGTTCAAACGTGAGTCCAGATCAAGTGCTGTTAAGATTCACGAACGAATAGATACGCTATCGTGTACCCATAACGTAGGTAATCGACATGTTTTTTTCAGTCATAACAAAATGAACATCGATACAATGAAAAACGTGCGACTACGCTATACGGTCCGGTGTGTTGAAGTCTACACGGCCGGTTTCCAAGTAGCTTATAATACATGATGTTTGATTATTATAATTCACGAAAGTACGTACATATTTACTTTTAAGTGTGTGCTCGTACACTACAATGACGCGACCGCAAAAATGTTACTGTATACACAACAACACTTTTCGGACGAATTTATAAGTAAATCAAATCTATAAGTGCTTGGGCACTACATATTATGTACGGTTTATGCGCACGACTGTACGCGATGTGACGTGAAATAGGTACGCATAGGGTTAGTGGTCGAGGATGTCGAAAAATAAAATTAAAACTCTCACTGCAGTCATTGATCTATACGTGTGTGTATTTATACGTCGGTGTGATTGGATATGTTAGGTGCGTTGGATCTACGTTTTGCGGAACCAGTAGAAAAAAAAAAGAAGATAATTATGAAAATAAACATTCATGTATTGGATATAATGGCATTATTTTGTACATAGATAACCTGAGATGGGTTGACACGAAGTGTTCAATTTACCGACGTGCTTATTATTATTATTATTATTATTATTATTGTGCCGTCGTCGTAGGTCAGTTTTGTTAACAACTTCCGTCGTACCCAGCAGTGGTGAGCACGCGAAAATAGATTATAAACGACAACATTTCGCGTGCACTTGTCAATCGCTCCTACCTCTGCGATTTTGGTACATTATGAACCGTATATCATCATCCCGCAACCGCTAACTTTTTTCTAACGGCCAAATCCGAGATACGCTTCGGTACCGCGAGACGTTATGATGTTTCAGATGAATAATTTTATTATTTCTCTCTTAGAAAATTGGAAATCAATAAATCGAAAATTAATCATTTTATTTAATTTTTTTTTTTTTTTTTTTTTTTCAAAAAATCATTTAGCTTGGCGGGTCGGTTCCGAAAGTTGGACGTTGGGCCGTAGGCTGGGGACCACTGTTCTCTTTCGAGTCCGATCGGCGCGCGAGCGCGTGACGGAAGCTGTAGAGTGCCGCGAGTGTATTCGATTTGAACGATTGTACGCGATTTTTTTTTTTTGTTTTTTCGCGGGCACGGTCGCCTACCGCCGAATCGGACAACATTTCGCGCGCGCAGAGTTCGATGACTCTCGGGGGACTGGTCGCCGCCCGCCATTAGGATATTTCGTCGCACAATTATATCGCGGCGGCTCGGTGAGGTCTTCGCCACACGGCGCGAGGCCTTCGAAAGGTTATCTCGCCGCCGCCGCCGCCTTCACTCCTACGTCCCGCGCACGAACTGCACACCACTATTTTCGTACTGTCGCGCTGTTATAGTATTATTATGTTAACATTAACGCGGACAGACGTGATGCGCAATCGTCAACAATAATACGACCGCTGTGCGCCCGAAGTGTTCACCAACCATCGGAAAACGCGGTGGTCCCATCGATGCCGTGCGACTATCGTGCTAGGTGTACGCCAGCAGCGTATCCAGGAATTTTTTATGGGGGGGGGGAGGGGTCCAAAATTTTTATTTTATCTGTACTCTAATTGTAATTATAGTTTAACTCAATATCAAAAAATTACTCTTAATATACTATAGTATGGTTTATACATTACAGGTATGTTATATAATCCATAAACTTTGTGTATTGAACATAATGGGAAATTAAAATGCACTACGTACTATTATTGTACTATTTACTATTAAATCGTTGAGTATGTAGAAATTTCAATGGGGGGTCCAGACCCGACCCCCCCCTTGAGTACGCCGTGGGAGTACACACCACGTACGGCACAGAATACGTAATACAACAATTTTGTGTGCAAGGAAAACCAGTTCGGTGCGAAAGGAGCGGTATCAGGGTGAAGGGTGACCTAACGGTTCTTAGACCCCCCTTGTAGTTTTGTACGACAAATTGAATAATTAGTATTGCTTTTGCGAGAATTATAACGTACATTTTATTTTTCTACAGTTGAATCGATACACGTGTTTATAAGTTTTTGAAACTGGAACATATGAAAACAAAATAATATTAAACTGATTATTGTTTAAGGAATAAAGCTAATGAAAAAAATCGACCTAAATGCGATTTTAGAAACTCAATATTAGGACTACTGTTCACAACACCTGGCCTAAATTCGACATTCAATTATGAAAGTCTTCAAACCGAAGACTCGAACACATGACGAAATAATCATTATACTTTGTATTCATCGCCTATATATTATACCTATAGTAATTAATAAACGTCTCGGGTCAACTAGTGATTATGATAGGGCATGTCCCTCTAGATATATGACAGACTACAGTGCACGTGTGCGTGTATGTTTTGTACGCATGAGTGAATGTATGTGTGTGCGTGCTACCAAGACTATGCTTTAACAGTACAAGTCCGTTAACTCTTAACGACGACGACAATGACAACTATATCCTAAATAGTCGGTTCGCTTACCAAGGTGTGTCTATCATTATAAATATCACCTTATCATGTGTGCGGACATAAAACATGACATATATACCGTCTTGATGTATAGTTTTTAGGTCCGGGTCCAAAATCATGCTTACAAGAAAATAAAGCCTTATAACGGTACTTTAAGACGGCACCGGATGAACAGAAAATCTTCTTTTTCACCTTAGGCACTCATCAATTTTTTATTATTAATTTTTCGGTAACAGATTAAATGTCTTAAGAGCAATTTTATTACCGGTGTAGAATATGTATGTTTTTCCGACGAAAACAAAGTTAAAAATTATATTATAATAATATACGATTCCCGAAACTTCGAACTACACAACTCGAGGTATTTTATCCGTTTGCAATCGATACACATAAATCGTATTGTTTATCCTTCAGGTTTGATTATAATTGAGTCCGGTTTTAAAAACTAGATTCGACTTGGCAGTACTAGTTTTTCGAATTTAAATACGAACGTGGTCCGAGCCTACCTGTTACGTGTACTATAAAAGACAGTGGTGTTGAAAACAACTGAAAAATAGTGTTAATAATAATATAGTTTAAACGATTCCGTAAAGTCCATGTGACCAGTATTTAGTGTGCACGTGTGATTAGAATTGTTATTACTTTGGTAATCGTGATGCATACCCGGCACTGAGTTTTTTCCATCGAAAAGTGTTTGTCACTAAAATAAACGTTTTCGATTTCGATGTTAACCCATTTCGAATATTGCATGTGCTTTGCCTATCGTGGCGGTAAGACCATTAAGAAAAATGTCTGTTCATAAACGGGTCGTAAACCACAAAATTCGAAAACGAATAACCTTTCATCGACCTTAATACATGTGATTTAATAATTTAATATATGTATTACGCAACGGCACTGTGAATAACTGCATTTTTCTAAAATATACACAAAACGTGTACACACGAACACCGTGAGTACACGCACGCACTGTTCTCATGCGAAAATAATGCGATATTTTAATATATTACGTATACGAAAATTATAAATAAATAACTGTTTGTTTGCATTTTTCCATGAAATAAATAACACGTTTAACCTTATTCTGTTTTTTTTTCTCACTTTATTTTTACAAAATTATACCCATTATACGTACCTAATTGAAATGAGCGTGCTATAATAATATGTAAATCTATTCGTATATAATTTTGCTGGACAAACAGCGAAAAATTCTTCAAAAATATGCGGCCAATTAATCTTTGTAACAATTATAACAGAGTGTCACTGTAGGGTTCTCTGGTTTTTCGTTTTTCTCATCGTCATAGCCGAATCTTATATTGATAATAAAAATGAATGCACTAAAACGCTCGACAAATTGTAGCGTCTCGCACTCTTATAACGTGGCCAGATGAGTGGAACGTTATGTGACGGGCCATAATCGGGTCGCCCCGATTAAAAAAAAAAAAAAAATCCTATAGGCTCCGGCAAACTCCTTGGTCATAGGTTGGCGACCCGATTATGGTCCGTCACATAACACTCCAATTATCTGGCCACGTTATAAGAGGATCAAAATACGTTACAAAATAATCGAACCCGCCGAATAGGTGGAAAATATTATTAAGAGTGTGTTCCGCGATACGACCGCCTACACGTTGTACCACGATGAATAAAACATTACCGGTGCAATCAACACCGTCGTAGGGATAAAAAAAATAAAATAAACATGACCATAAGAATACGTTTGGTATCCGCAGGTCTTGTTACGGGAACAATAGAGCGAACCCTACAGGGCATGGAAAAATAAAATTAAAATAAACGTTCCATCGGTTTCCGATCGTTCGTAGCCCGACAAACACTGTGCAAACGGCCCCAAATTAGAACGTGCACAACACACCCAGGAGGGCGGGAGATAGGGGTGCGGCCTTCCAGCCGCCGTCGTACCAACACAATGTTATCCTGTTAACACTATCCGACGCCTGCGAACCGATAACCCTGGTCGGAACTTCGCATTCAGGCGTTGTTATAGCACTTGTGTCAATAACGTTTTTGATTGATTCCGTTTATGTTGCGCAGGACGATGTCGCACGAGCGGGAGTAGAACGCGTACGGGTACAGTGTGCGGCAACCACAGCAACCATGATGATCACCGAAACCGCGGTGATGGCCAACGGCGGCGGCAAGATAAAACGTTCGAGTTTCAGGTCCCGCGGCGGTCCGGGCTCGCACAACAGCGGCGGCGGCGGCGGCGGCAGCATGCGTGGCTACCGGGCGGTCCGAGTAACGGTGCCGTCCACGGTGGTCGCCGAGCTGGCGTCCAAGTTCAACGCGGTGGTGGTGGACGCAGACAGGGGGGCCACGGCACGGGACATAATCAAAAAAGTGAACAAAACGCTGGCCAAGGGCGCGGCTGTGCGGGCCACGGTCGAGAAGTTCGAGTCGGCCGCGGAAAAGAAGCACCACGGTGGTACTACCGGTGACCACCACGTGGTCGTGGTGCGGACCAACTCGTCGACGCAGTTACGTACGGCCGAGGCAACCCAGGAACAACGGTCGTCCGCCGCTACGGCGGCAGCTGTGGCCGCCGGACAGCGATCGTCCGCGTCCTTGGTGAAACTGCGTATGGAACAGTTCCAGAACGGTAAGAAGCTTCAGAAGCCCAGCGTTCTGGGCCCGAAGCCTAAAGTGTCCGAGGCGACCAAGAGACGCATCGGTGAGGAACGCAAAACGGTTCTGCAAAAAGACTCGATGGTCTCTACGGCGGATCACCGACAACTGCTGAACAAGCACAAGCGGCTGTCGATCGCCAGGGACCCGGACGCGCAACTGGAAAGTGTATTGAACACGACGCCAGAGCAAGCACCACCGCCGGTGGCCGCGGAACCCGACCGCGTCGAAACCGTTCAGCAGAGGAGGACGCCTTCGCCTCCGAAGATCCGACCGAAACCGAACAGTTCGTTTCTGCACGGCCGCAAGGGACCGGAGATGGCTCCGCCGGCGGTGCCGCAACCGTCGTTGGTCGCCGCGGAACCCGTCGAGCGCCCACCCGTCCACGACGAGCCCGCCGAACGCGCTGACGATGAACCGCGGTCGAGCTTTTTGCACGCGTACAAGTCGAAACCGACGGCCAACGGTGGTGTGCACGACAACTACAACTACATCGACGGCGGTGGCCAGCAGCCGCAGGCCATCTACGAGGAGCTGCTGTGCGACATACAGATGTCAGCCGCGCGGACGGGTGACGCGCCGGACCCATCACCGCTGCCGGACGTGGTGGCCGAGTGTTCGTACTACGACGGCGCCAACGAGCACCACTACACGACGATCGATTGCGGCGAGCTGAACATCTACGACGACGTGGTGGTCCCCGCGGCCGTGCTCGAGAACCGGCAGCGGCCACCGGCCACGTCCGACGAGGACGGCAGCTACGAGAC